CCGCCACGGACGGGTGGATCGAGAGGCAGGCGCTCTAACCAACTGAGCGTACGAGGCAGAATATAATAAATATTCAATCTTAGGCGTCACGTAAAAAAACATGGTTATGGGATTCAAGAGGTACTTTTTTAGGCCATTTCTTCCGTGTATGACCATTTTAATGTTTTCGTCCATGCATAGCTAATAGTCACCTCATGTTGAAATCCGGAATGATTGGGACCTTGAAAACTTGGTAACATCCTGAGCTCTGTGTGGAAGCAATGATTATACGAAATGAGACCACTCGTCGTTTGAAACGCTATATAGGAGCTCCTTGGCTAACCCGATATAAACATTTATAGGAAACAATACGTGATTCCACAGGTAGCTAAGAATGCATTCTTCCTTTTTTGTCTATGCTTTTATCATATCTTACGTTCAGCAAATTTGTTTTCACATGGGTTATCGTCAAAAGATTATGGCAGTGAATGCCTATGCAAAACGAGTGCGATTTTTACGTTAGCGCCTTTCCAGCATCGGAGGCCCTGTGTGGTAGGGGACGCAAATGTTGTGGGATGTAATATCAATCACCAATTAAATGATCCATGACGTACTGAAGGTATATTCCTGTAAGTGCTCCTAAAAAGCGGAATTTTGTTTTTGTTAGGTGGCATTCAAGTCATTGGCAAGGACATTTATATTTTCTAGATCACCTTGGAACGGAAAATAACTTTGGAAAATATCCATTTCCACCAAAATATACGACGTTGAATACGTGCAAGTAATCGCTCGCTTAAAATACTTGCTTTATATTGTTTCTGTCAATCATTTTCAAAATCAAACGTATATATGATAGTAATTCAAGCTCAATGAGGAATGGCGACATCTTGGGCTTTTCCTAACCCGACTTTACTAGTTGACGTTTTTTGGTTGTGTGCGAAACAGCTCAACAGAGTGTACCATGCTCATCTGAGAATACATACATTTGAATGAAACCTAATCTATAATTTGCGTACCTGTGATCCGATCGACATTTCGATAATTTTAAAATCATCATCAGAGCGAAAACAATTCTTACGCATCATCCAATGCTCGGGAAACGGGAGCGCATTCAATAAATTTGGTTTCGTTCTACATTCGAGAAATTCACATACGTTAGGTCACATCACAGATATACTCATGGTAATAGATTTGTATACAATTAAGCACAACTCTTATCGGCATACATCATGTCAGCTTGGAAGTAATACAGAACCATGCTACGAAGGTCTTCCAGGCTCCGCAAGAGCAAAATCATAAGCCTATCTAATAATTTGCAGGAGATATGCAGACCCCGTGATACTCAGCGGGGACTTCTCTTGACTCTTAAGTGTTTATATATACGTAACTACCGCATCGCCGTGCTACGGAAAAATTGACACTGTTGTTAGTGAGCAAGTGAGTGTCTGATATAAGTGAAAGATCCATGCTTTTCAAAAAAGGGCAGCACGCAATACCTATTTATACTTAGGACTTCGTGACCAACAGGAAATCTTAGATGTGTGCCATTCAAAAAGCTGTTTTATAATATAACAACGAGTAAAAATTGCAAGCTGCTTCCTAAAACCAATGATCCAAGCCGAGGAAGTAAACAATGCAAGATACTCTGGTTGGAATATTAGCGGGAAGCTTTCAGACACTGGCGATGATGTATACGAACATTGAAACGTTGGCCAATGCTATATACATGAACAGCAGCAAGTGCTGCTTATGGCATCAACTTTTTACCACTACATGTGATTGAGACTCTCTCTCTCTCTCTCTCTCTCTTTCTCTCTCCCCCTCTCTCTCTCTCCCATTTATATATATATATATATATATATATATATATATATGCATATGTATATAAATAGAAACCAGAAAATTATTGGATAATCACCATATATCACACTGCATTGGACCACACTTATGTCACAGAATATTCAAAAACCAAAAACCTCATTACTCTTGTCCCCCAGTATAAATAAGGCCGTCAGAGGTCGTTCTGAAATTCTCCCAAATTGGGTGTAAACCATGAATAAGTTAGGCCCGCGTGTTCGCCACGTAGCTTTCTGTCAATCTTCTGTGCGGCAGCTGATTTAGGACCCCATGACAACGGCGCCTCGACTTCTGATTTTCTGCTCACAGCTTTACAATTAGCTGGTTGATAAATATGATCTAGATTGCACTTCGTTCCCAGTTCCAGCTCTAAGCCGTCGCAGCCACGGGTTTCGCCAAATGCAATTTCGACGCGGATGTCTTCAGCTCGGCGGCGCCACATTCGGGCGCTTTCAAGAGCCCAAAGTCTCTGACAATGGCTGCGTTTACAGCCCCATGGCATTAGTAAAGACCATAGCAATCAAAGTTTATAGAGATGAGAGAATTATGACCCGATCTCCAAGCAGCGTTCTAATTCCAGCCGAAAAGCGTGGGGCTTCAACCACAATTCTCATGAACTTTGGGAGGTCAGGAAAAGCATTGCTCTTTTCCGTGTCTTAAAATCATCTGTTAGCAATCTCAAGTCAATCAGTTATTTGCTAATCCATGCTGGTTTTTTTATTACACAGCTAGCAATCTCGATCCCCTCGAGATAAAGTTAGGTGAAACACGAAGAGCGCATGGTGGTTTCCACACACCCGACGGGAAGGAACGTGAATCATGACTACGTTGTGCGATACTCATATTTAAGTGCTGTTCAGGTAACTAGCGGAGCAAATGCGTTGCGAGGTCTTCTATTTTAAAGACTGAAGCAATTAGTACACCAGCATTGATATTAAACAGTGTCACACGGTCTGAAAGTCACCAGCAATTAGGAATGGTAAAACAACTTATTCGCCCCAACTGCACACGTGAATAACTCAGTCATAGGTGTGTGAACGCTGGTTATGCACTGAAACGTTCCTCGACCACCATATTTTTCAGGGTTTAAGACGACAACTGTAAGGATTCAAGACGGCAGCCAATGACTACCAGATGACGAGTCAATGTCTCTTCACGGAAAGAAAACCACGCTGCTGGTTAAGACTACTGGTGACAAGATCACGGCTGTTCAATAGGTGAGCAAGAACACCACCGTGAGGTGTTTTTGCTTGAAGGCTGAGTATGGCAAACTGCCTGCATGACATTAGACGTGACGTCAGGGCACGGTGATGTTTCTGCCTTGCAGTGCATTGGTAAGCCGAGCATCTGCGCCGGCCACTGATCGTGCCACGCGGTCTCGTCTGTTAAATTCTAGCGTTGTTGCGAACATAGAGGCACTCGTCGCTTGGGCGTTCTCAACACCACTTGACTTTTGCTTGTGGTGCATTGCATGTGGTCATTCCAGAATTCTTAGGTTCCGATTGCCCAGGCTAAAGTTTTGGGACCTCAACTACTCGCTTATTTGTTCTGACCTCACTGCTGACAATTGCTGGGGACTCATGTGGGATGGAGATATGACAGAGTGTATTATCGTATAATGTGTGGTGCGCAACAAATATATGATCGCCAACTTTTATCGCACTGTCAAATTCAGAAAGGAAACTGCCCCGCTACGGCAACAAATATGTGCTAATGGAATAAGAGTACCGACGCATTGGCAAAATATCCCAGACCTACAATCCCTGAATTACAAATGCCTAAGACAGTGAACGTGAACCATCGTATTACACCGCTTGGTGCAGTTTGAACATCTGTTAGGAGCGACATCGGCCACATCTGTTCGTTCCTCCCCCCCCCCCCCCCCCGCTACGTCCAGCCGCCCCTTCACAATCGGCAGCCGTCCCGCTGGGACGTGCTCCCACCCAGAGAGCGTTGAGAAGGGTGGAGGAGCATTGCTGAGGAATATCTTGAAATGTATACCCGAAAGCAAAGTGTCAGTGCTTTACAATTAGCGTCATACACAATGTGCTTTGTTAAGTGCTGTGAAAACGTACTTTCAGTACTTTCCTATGCATTTTATGCATGCAATATAGCTGAATCTACTGGCGGGGCTTAAATAGCTCGGAAGGAAGGGGAAACAGCCGGGTTTGTTTTAGATGACTTGCCTGAATTAACTGTTCATATTACCCTGCGGCTAGAACCGTTATCGTAATAGAGATGTTACTTGTGATGCGCCTTATCGCATTGTAAAACGTCTTGTATTCCACGCAATTCGTTAAAACGCACTTGAATTATCGTGGCATCATAGAGAGACGTAAGCGTATGCCTAGAAAAGAAGCCCTCGTTTCCAGCGGCTTTTTATTCTGAAAAATGTCCGAAGCAATGATAGGCCTTATCTTCAATCAGTTCGGAACTGATCCCAAATATTCGGAAAGACCCACAAGTCCCAGCACCAAAAGTGATGCGATTAACGCATTCATTTTCCTAACATAGGCGTTAGCCTAGGTTTCCAGTGGTGCAGAGGATCGAGACAGGGGCGATCCCGGTCACCGGTTGAGGAGGCGGGAGGGGAGACACTGCGGGAGACGCCGTATCGAAGTCTGACGCTGTCATTTGCCAGCCTAGCGCCTGATCCAGCAGAGGTGAGGGCTTCGCAAGTGCCGAGCCCGACCGTGTCAGCGCCCGCCGGGAGGGGGAGGCGGGAGGTGGCTGATAGGGCACGCTCGCCGACGGAGTGCCGCTCATCCGGCGGCGGCCCGCCCGGGCCGCGACCCCGACTCATCCCCACCGCCCGCCGGCCACGACGCTGCCGCCCGAACAACGGCATCTGCCGCGTGGTCTATCGCCCGTGACTCATATCAGCAGCGCCTGGAAGCTCAGAGGTTTTTACGGTCGGTTTCATTCGGCAGAGGGATTCCCTCACCAGCCATTCATTCGAGTGCAATAAGCATCCAAGTTACAGAAGGGCTCCTGCTGTGTCGCGTTCAAAATACAATAACTGTCATTTCCTTTCGAACAGAGCAAAACCTCCTACTAGCGCTGATATCCCAGAGCATTGCGCCCGGCCGCGTGCAGCCCGACACCCTCAGGGCAGCCCGCACCGGAGCCGTGCGGCACCCGCCGGCGGCCCGCGGCGGCAGCACTCACTTGGCGTCGTCCTCGGAGGGGCAGATGAACCACTGGACGCGCCGGCTGACGCTGCTGCCGAGCGCGATCACGCGCCGGATGTCCGTGCCGGCCGGGAACTCGGGCTGGCGCGGCACGGCGCGCGTGAACACGCCCACCGCCATCAGCTCGGGCGCGCAGCGCAGCACCAGCGCTCCCTCCGGCTCGCTGCGCTCCTTGCTCTTGTACCAGAGGAGCGACGAGTCGTCGTACAAAATGGCGTACTCCTCCCGCCAGTTGGTGCCGAAGAAACGCTCTGCGGACGGCGGCGGGCTGTTACCGAAAGGCACGTGGCAACGCTGCTGGGCGCATTGCAGACTGACGCAAAATAGGCCCGCTTTCACAATTCCTGACGCAATGAGTGTACAATCCGGTAAGAACAAAAACCCTTCATCTTCAGCCCGCGTATTGCGGGCTTAAGCTTCAGGAAAGTGCAAACAAAACGTTTTGAGTTGATGCATGTTATTAACAAACATACGCTGAAAAGCAGACTAATGATTGAAATGCCTTAACAGACGCATGGGGTAATGCATGCGGCGGCAAAACAGCGGTCCTTTGTACACCGAGCGGCGTCTCTCATTTATGAGTTCCCTATGCATGTTCGACGACTAAATTCAACAAGTTTTAAGCGCGCTGCCAAGTCCTTTTTGTTCGATAGAGTTGTTTATGCGTGTATGCGCTCATGCCTTTTCTATCCTCTATCACTTTCCGTTGTTTTTTATATACCGTTTTATCTCTCAGAATAATGACACGTAATAGCCACGTGTGTATGTGGAGTGTCAGCCGATGTCAAATAAGAATACAAATACGATAGCTTTAGCGACGATCATTGATCACCGTTAGCTAGCTCGCTCTACTAGTCGGTGGTCTCATGACCAGTTCGTGTACTATATTCGGGTAACAGTTATTATCGCGCAATCTACGCATCGTGTGGTGGTCGCATGATTAACCGTCTTACATGCAAGTCCAGTTAACGGAATTTGACGATTGCAGTAAGAACATATTCTCACACTTATCCTTGTAGAAGTTATATCGAGCACAATTACCTGGTGAACGCTGTTGAAAGTGCACCAAGTCGCATCAGACTGCTAGTTCGTTTGGAATCATGGCCATCACGATGAGCTGCGCCAGACGCCGTCCCCGCACTATCACACCAGGCTTCACGGAGTGTGCTCCCTCTATCAGCCTGCTGACCGGTCCGGGCCGCTGACGACTGATTTTTAGCAACGGTCGCCAGCGAATGAAACAACTAAACTAACTTCAGCGGAAGATTGCCTCAGGGCGTACAGCTGTACAGCGCGCCCCAGATGAATGATGGTTTCAATCTCATTCTCACGGACGCATGTGATTGCTCTCCAGGATTGCACAACCTGGCATTGATACATCATAGTGTGGATGGGTCCGAGAAAACGCATTCAAGTTTGCATTCGAGCACGCCGGATGTTTTGAGAGTCATGACTCAATCCATGAAAAATATGTCATTTGCGCACTCGCATTGTCATACAGAAAAGTAAAAGCGCCCAGGGCGCAGGGGAATGTTTTCCTGCTCGCTGCGGTTTTTCACGACCGCAGCCGACAGAGGACAGCTCCACTCCCCGGGTTATTGGCCGATGGTGGTGTGCGCTGGCTGGCTGGCCTGCTCCGCGACCTCAGGCCGGCCGGAGCGTCCGCCGCCGCCTGGTGCGACGCCTCCGCCGGCTGAACAGCCCACTCCGACCGTCGTCCGAGGTCGGAGCGCGGGCAGCAGCGCCCCGCTCTGTCCGCCGCGCCGCCCGGAGCGGGCCGCCGAGCTGGTGATGACAGCCGGCCGCGGCGTCGGTCCATCGTTGCTGTCGGCGCGGACGGCCCGCCGGCCAGTTTACTGCCGACCCCGGTCGGCTCGGCTCGTCCGGCGCCGAGGGCAAGAGCCGTCCGCGGACGGGTCAAGGGCCGGTGGAGCTACCGCTGGGAGGCCACGGGCCGCCCGCGGACGGGTCAAGGGCCGGTGGAGCTACCGCTGGGAGGCCACGGGCCGCCCGCCGGCGGATCAGGGGCCGACGGAGCTGCCGCTGGAGGGCCACGGGCCGCCCGCCGGCGGATCAGGGGCCGGCGGAGCTGCCGCTGGGAGGCCACGGGCTGCCTGCGGACGGGTCAAGGGCCGACGGAGCTGCCGCTGGGAAACCACGGGCCGTCCCAGCGCACCGAAGCTAGGCACCGCCAGAACGAAACCGTCGCCATTGTCTGCGTGGCAAAGCTTTGCCGACGGCGGCGGAGTGGCGAGCGCTGCAACGTCCGTGGGTAGCAAAATTCTTAGGAGTCGAGGCAGCTGCGCAGTTAGCCGTAAGCCATGACACGTGGAAACTCCCACAGGGATTGGAAAAGAAACTGCGGAGTTGGCATGGCCAAGTACTGCGTAGCAGGCGAACATCTCGAGAGTAGGCGAAAGCTTGCAGAGTCGGTCAGAACCGCATGTCATGTTCAGTTAGGATCATGCAATGATTTTCCATGGTTGGCATGGGATTTTGAAGTAAATCTCAATTGATGCGACGGAATTCAACGGGCTGATGGATCCCAGGGGAAGGTAAATGCATGAGGGTGTTGTGAGTCGCGTGTCAAAGCATTTATATACACACGGTCTCCAACAAAGTTGATCGCCTTGAGCATGCAGGTACCCTGAAGTTGATGAAGAGGGCTGTGATTTTGGCGTTTCCAAACCGAAAACAGCTGATATGGTTATGCAATGCAAACAAACACTTAAAACCATTACAACACATCATCTTACATTTTCGTTTGCGATCAGCGACATGATCTCATTAAGCTTTTGTGAAGTGCGCCATGGAACGAAGCTGGCGTGCGATCAGAAACTGCGAAACATTGAATAGATTCATTATAGTGCATTGCCCCGCGTTGTAAACTGCTTGTTGCACCAAAGGTCATACGTGTGCAGCTGCCAGCTCCGTCCTGGCACATCTCGGTAACCGCGTTCATAATTACAATAGTGGTAGTGTCGTTCACGTTCTTTATCGTGTCGATCGGCGTCTCATTCCCTTCTTCATGTCGCTAATCACTTTCTGACCGGGCGGTGGCAACACCGCAGCGTGCTAAAACCGTCGCGGTTGCCCGCGACATGGAACACACAGGCTACCAACGGCTGATGTGATTACGATAGTCTGATAGCCTGGGGTGGTCTGGTGAGTTACCGACCTGGTGAGATTACAACAGTGGGATGGGCTAGGGTGGTCTGGTGAGTTACTGATCTGGTGAGATAACAGTGGTCTGATGGGCTGGGGTGGTCTGGTGAGTTACTGATCCGATGAGAGTACCATAGTATGATGGGCTGGGGTGGTTTTGTAAGTTACCACCGACTTGGTGAGATTACAATAGTCTGATGGGCTGGGGTGGTCTGGTTAGTTACCGACCTGATGATATTATAATAGTATGATGGGCTGGGTGGTTTGGTAAGTTACTGACCTGGTGAGATAATAATAGTCTGATGGGCTGGAGTGGTCTGGTGAGTTACCCAATAGTCTGATGGGCTAGGGAGGTCTGGTAAATTACCGACCTGGTGATATTGCAAAAGTCTGATGGGCTGTAGTAGCCTGGTAAGTTACTGATCTGGTGAGATCTCAGTAGTCTGATGGGCTGGGGTGGTCTAACGAGTTGCCGACGGCTGGTGAGATTAAAATAGTCTGGTGGGCTGGAGTGGTCTGGTGACTTATCGACCTGGTGAGATTGCAACAGTGGCATGGGCTAGAGTGGTCTTGTGAGTCACTGATCTGGTGAGATAACAGTGGTCTGGTGAGCTGGCGTGGTCTGGTGAGTTACTGATCCGACGAGAGTATAATAGCATAATGGGCTGGGGGGGGTTTGGTAAGTTACCGCCCTAGTGAGATTATAATAATCTGATGGACTGGGGTGGTCTGGTTTATTACCGACCTGATAATATTACAATAGTATGATGGGCTGGGTGGTTTGGTAAGTTACTAATCTGGTGAGATAATAATAGTTTGATGGGCTGGAGTGGTCTGGTGAGTTACTGATCTGGTGAGATATCAGTAGTCTGATGGACTGGGGTGGTCTGATGAGTTACCGACGGCTGGTGAGATTAAAATAGTCTGATGGGCTGGGGTGGTCTGTTGGTAAGTTACTGGTGGTAAGTTACTGATCTGGTGAGATCACAGCAGTCTGATGAGCTGGCATGGTCTGATGAGTAACCGAGCTGCTGAGATAGCAGTAGTCCGATGGGTCTAGATTGCCGGCCGCGCTCTTCAAGGATTGAACAAACGCTCCATCACGCCTGGACGGTGGGCCGTGTGTCAACTTCGGTGTGTCGCAAATGTGGAACAGGACGTTGTCACTGTCGGCCTCAGCATAATCCGGGCCCGCATCAGATCAGCCTCAGAAGTCCGCTGCAATCTCATCACAACGGGCGATCCTGGATGAGAAGCGGAAGAAATGCACCCTGAGGAAGGGTTGGGACTAAGTCCATTCCAGACCACTTCTGACAGGTATCTGATGCAAGTGCTAAGACGATGTTCACGTTGTTCAGCATTACGGAATGTCAGTGCATAAGCACTGCACCGCGCTTACGACATACTACCGGTGTTGCAGAAACTGTCGCTCACAAAATCAGAAAGCGTTTGTTTGATTTGCGTTGCGATGTTTAGGACGATGCGAGGTTTGAATCCAGCTGCCATAACAAGCATGGACATAACACGTGCGCGGAATACCGGAACTAAGCGTCACCCCAGACGACGGCTGCAACGCCACTTGACATGAGCTATAGAATACCTTCAGGTTTACGTAAGACTTCTGAGCTCGTGCTAAGTCTACACAACACGACTCGGCCATACTCAAAACGGAAGCGAAGGCCAAGTCGGGCCCCATAATGCTCGGAACCCCTCTCCCATCACGTATAAATAGTGGCGCCATTTCGGCCAATGTTGGTGCCCTTGAACAGGATGTCCGAAGAGGAGCACGACCAAGCCAAAGCTTACAGAAACCTCTTGATCCAATCACTGTCGTAGAATTGGGTAGAAGGCGTTCCAAGGCAAGTTGAGAGACGAACCCAATCATAGGTGAATAACAAGCAAAAAAGATCGCAGGTCCCCAAAAAGTTTGCCAGCCCAAACCTGCAAAGAGCGGCTTCTGAAGCCAAGATAGATGAGACCGAAGCCCATGTCGAGAGTTACTTTAGTCTTAAGGAAAGGAGGCTCCCAGCCCTAATGAGGGCACAGATTGGCGCCACTAGCAAAGGTGCAGAAGAGCTTCAAGTCCAAATTATTGGTGCTCACAGGCATGGACAGAGGGCGTTCCCAAGCCTCGACAAAGAAGCGCAAATTTAAATGAAAATAGGGACGTTAACGTAGGAAGGTAATAGGAAACTCGAACCCAAACTGCGGGCTGCCCACAAACGTGCGGCGCGAGCAGCAGCGTGGAGACGCCCCATGTCCCGGGATAGGGCTGTTTGAAGTACATCTGACGGCGGCCCTAACCCCAGAAAGAGGAGAGCCCAGATCAACGTGTAGTGACATCACAGCCTCGCGTGAAGTGACACCCGAGGCCTGAGCAGGAGGGATCAAATCTCGAGCACCGCAAGACCAATCTGAGGGCCATGTTCAAGCTCAACCGAGGAGGCGCCGCTAGCCTAGATGGCTCATAGCACCTCATCTGAGCCAGCGGGGATGAGCGCATCGGTACCAGATGGGTATCATTGGGTGCGATATTCCCTACACGCAGGCAGGACAGGGAAAGAAGTGCATGTCATCACAGCGACTTCGACGAAACGTTTCCCTGCAGGCACTCATATAGTTGCAAATTGGTGCTTGAAGTTGGCGGTGCAGTATACTTTTGTACAACAGCAGCATTTGATTGCAAGGAAAGCAAATGACATGTGCCTGCAAATCTTTGACGCACTCACCTGGCATGAGACCAAATGTTTCAGAGGACATCCCTCGATAAATCAGTGTTACAGGCACGGCTGATCTTCGTTTGCTGCAAGCAGCCGCTGGCCTCACGCGTCGCTCCTACGTCTCTGGAGCATCGGACCGAGCGCACGCGGACCCAGGGATGGCGTAACGGGCTGTAAACGGACTATCTGCGGCGCCGCAGGGTCTGACTGCCCGTTTATGACCGGCCGGGCCCAGCCCTCCGTGCTGGGTCGGCGTCACGGGGCAGCAGTCGCCGCGCTGCATACTGAGACGTTCACAACTTACGTCGACGAGTGCAGGCGTTGGTATCATGTGTGCTCAAACTACAGCTCTGCCGCAGTTACTTACCAGTGATGCGTCAAGCGAGATCCATTCCAGGCTCAAGGTTAAACGTTGTCAAGAAGTAGATGAGGCGTGAAAACCGTCCTAAAGGTCGCTACAATAGAAATGAGCAGTCCCAGAAACGTAAACAAAATGATTTGCATTCCTACGGCGGCAACAGGCTTAGATTCCAACAAACTAATGCCAGCTATTTCCACCATAATTGGTGCTGAGCCGGGTTCCATCGTCTTTTGTGTCGAACATGTGTCTGTAGCTCAACTTGTGCGTGTTTAAAGCAGAGCGTCGTTGATGAGACTGCAAGATGCGGTATATGAAGCCAGTCTCTCCGCAGCTCACGCCTAGCCAGCAGTTTTACCACATGCGCGCATTCGCTGCAGCAGGCGGCACTTACTTTTGTAACGGTACATGTAGCCTCCCTTCACAGGTTTCGCCACCGCTGGAACAAGAGGAAGTTCGGTATCAGGTGCCATGGTATCTGGTGCGATTGGTTGCGCCTTGATAAACGTAAATCATTGGTCTCGGTGCACTCGAATAGACATAAGAGGTACATGATTGCAGCAGAATAATATTCTATGAAGATTGCGTAACAAGAATAGTGGCAATCGGGAAACAATCCGCTGCATCTGTACAGTGCCGCTCATTCGCCGAACAATGAATGGTCTTTTATTTGGCGTTGCTATCTCTTATGCTTCTTGCCACGCACAACGAAATGAAATACGAACTGCTTGGGACTCGATCCCCAATCAAACGTCCATACTGATTCTGAATAAGTTGTCAATGAATTCAACCTATCCATCTAACGTACACACTAATAGTGGAGACTTTGAGATGCAATTAGCCCGCTAGTGAGCAACATGTGCTGGTTGTTATTGCGTGCCACAACATGCTACGCACGGTGTGAGGCCCGTGATCCGCTACGCACATAACATCCTGAGCCACGCGGTTCGTCAACGTCTGACAGAGTCAAACTAAATGTCTTGTCCGCATGAGAAACTCTTTTTGTGACCGTGTGAGCACAAACGTAGTTGTCATGATAAGGATGCAGTGAGGTGAACACTGCTTTCGGTCATTATTTCAAATTGCTTCTTCCAGGGTGTAAAGTCATCTTAACTCGGTAATTGCCGACCATTCGAAGGGCCTCCGAAGGCCTGTAGGATACGTTTGAGGCACACTACATAAAAAGGCAAACTTGCTCGCTGCATTCTAAAGCATCACGGATGAAACATT